CACAATATATATTCTATATTCAAACTTCCTGCAACAGTTTAGGGACAAGTGCTTCCCACAACAGAATGCAAACACTGGGAAGCGTCTCAAGTATGATTTTCAATCCACTATTGCCCCCTGCTGATCTAAAGATGAATAGCTAGATCAATACATGGTTAGTTTTAAATTAAATATGCACAGAATTAGTCACACACTTTGTAATTTTTGGCAACACCTACTCTATCAGTTTCTTTGCTCCAAGCTATTAACTCCCAAAGTCAGATCAACCTCCCACTTGCTCCACCCCCTCTGCAGACCTGCGCCACAGGGCTCACAGTGCACTTTCAGAGCCTAACCACAACCCATCTCCACTGAGTTGCCTCAATTCTTGCTTATTCAAAGTGGGGGGAGGCCAGCGCACATCCCTAGCACTCAGCAACTCACTGCCAACTGGACCATCTGAGGCCCCATCCCAGACCTAGTGAATGGGGATGGTTTTGCATAATAATGGGGTTGAATCCAGAGGCTTTATACTGAGCTACAGCCCCAGCTCTATTTTATTCTGAGACAGAATCTTCTTTTATCACTATGTTGCCCAATGTGGGCTCAAAAACTTACAATCCCTCTGTTTCGGCCTCCCAGAGTGTCAGAATCTGGATTTTTTAACAAGAGTCCACACACACTATAAAACTTGATAAGCACTGGCTCCCAACGACTAGACTCACTATTTGATTACAAATACCTGCTGATACTCTCACTATCCTGAAATAAAATTCACCCCCAACACATGAAAACCTCCCCCCAAAGATCTCAGCACAGTGACTTCATGGCAACACAAAGGTGACAAAAGGAGAGGTTCATAAGAATTCTATTTCTGTACATAAATGTTCACCACAACAAAGACATAAAGAACCCTTCTATTTCTACCTACCCTAAGATTCCATTCAGTGAGGAATCACTGGTCTGCCACCACTCCTACTCTTCTCTCCCTACAGTCTCACGGAAAAGAATCTTTCTTCAAGCTGAAAGATTACCTTTGCCAGGATCTGAATGCAGCGCCTCCTACATGCTAGGCAAACACTCTACCACTGAGTTCCACCTACCAGCCAGAATTCACCTTTATAAAACCTCCCTTCTCCACAGCTCCTCCCTAGACCATAAACACTTCCAAATCTACAACAATGTAACAACCATAAAACATTTCCTTCTAGTTACCATATTTTCTCCCTCAACAGTAAACTTTGTGTCTATTTGTTCTTCTCTACCTCACTAATCCATGCCCATCTAATATTCACATCCATCAGTACACATACAAGGATCATGAAAGATCTTCAAAGTGCCCAAATCAATGAAAACGTGTCCAGACTCATCTAGCTGACCTTGAAACGGACATTGTTGGTTGCCTGTTGTCTCATTCATGAATTCATTCTTCTTCGTACGATTAAGGTAGATCCTGTTGAGTCTAAACCAGCCAGGGGGTAGCTTTCCCCTGCCAACTGCTATTTGAACAGGGCAGACACGTGACCTAAATTGGTCCAATTTGCCCCTGAAAGAGGGTATAATCCAACTGTGGGATTTTTGTCCTCCCAGCTTCTCTTGCTCAAGCATGTATGTGCGTACGTGCATGCGTGCATGTGTGCGTGAGAGAAAGGAGAGACAGAGACAGAGACAGAGACAGAGACAGAGACAGAGAAAGCGAGACTGACTGGCAGTTATCTACCTAACTGTAAAGTAAACCAACATTATCATGGAAAGCCAAGACCTGTCTTTGAAGACATAGTTGATCTACCTAAGCAGTATGGGTCTAGAGTCTATCCTGCCTCTGGATTTTGTGAGATCATTTTCTTACTATTCAAGCAATTAGGCTTTCCCAGCCCGAACCATCCTAACATAGCCTGTCTTTCTTAAAACTTTCTTCCCTTGGCTTTCTTTTTTTTTTCTTGTCTCTCCCACAACACTGAGGCTCAAACCTGAGGGCCAACTGCATTCTATTCCACCGAGCTGCACTCCCAGTCCCATCTCACTTGATTTTCTAAGCCTCATTCTTTTCAACTTCTCCATCCCTGGCCTCCCCTCTTCCTTCACCTACCCCTGGCCTCTTGGTGTCCTGCTCACTCAAAGTACACTTTTCCCAGGAGTCATTTCAGAGCACTGTAGCCCTCCCTTGACATATGCAGACCCGGCTCCCCGCCCCCCAATAAATTCCTACCAGTCTTTCAAAACTAAATCTAAATGTCCCCTCTGTGAAGACCACCTTCAAGACCCTAGGGCTCCTTTGCCTTTTTTGTGATATGAAGCTCTTTGGTGAGCCCTCTTCTCAAAAGAATTCATTATGCAGTCTGTTGCATAAATTATCAATGATAGTAAAATACAATTTTTAAAACCCAATCTTCTTTTGAAACAGGCTTTCACTGAATAGTTCAGGCTGGCCTTTAACTCACTATGTAAGCCCAGGATGGCCTCAAATGTGTGGCAATCTTCCTGCCTCAGCCTCCCAAATGCTAGGATTATGTACCACCATGCCCCACAAAATAATCCTTTTTTCAGTACCAGAAATCAAACTCTGGACTTTGCACTTGCCAGGGAGGCATTTGTGCCACTGAGCTATATCCCTGGCCCTTAAAACCAAACCTGTAATAGACAGCGGTGCCTTAGTCAAGAACACTTTTGTTTGTGAACAATTTCATTGGCAAACAGAAGCATTTGGCAAAATTTTGCTTGTGAACTCTGCATTGGATGGCGAACATGAACATGGCCAGCTTTTCCAGGATCACAGAATGAGCTAAGTTTGTGAACCAAGGAAGGCATCTGTGTATGTGCTTTTTTATTAGCCTAGTAAAAAGATCTAGTGTTGGGCTTTCCAACTACCATAATTTTGATGTCATCATGAGCAAAAATGGTATTTCATGAGCACCAATAACTGTACTGCAATATGAAAATGTTTGTGACTTGTACCGGTACTATGACTTTTGTGACTGACAATTATTACTAATACTATGGTTTGTAATCATGGGAGTTTTTTACACTAATCACACCCCCACTGAACCCCACCTCTTCCTATCCATGCCTTATATAATCCTCTACTGCATCAACTCTGGACATGGCTTGACATCAGCATATGTGATGCCAACAGGTGTGGGAGTACACTGGGAGTGCCCTCGTGGAGGCAGATGCACAGTAAAGGAGAAGCACAGTAAAGCCCCCTTTCAGTTAAGCCACCAACTAGATTAAGTCACCAGTAAAACTGTCCACCCAAGCCACGGATTGGAGGAAACAACTAAGCATTATTGTTTTAAGGCACTGGTTTCCAGTGTTTCAGTACCCAGTAATAGATAACTAAAACAGTCATTCATACTGATAACCAAAGAAGTGCTCGATTTCAGTTAGAGACTGGTGAAAATAAAGGTTGTTTCTGCCTAACAGTTTAGGAACCCCAAGCTTTATCTCTACAGACCCTTTAAGGAGGTGAGGACCTAAAGATAAAGGCCCTTATTCAGGGTGAGATCCCACAGCCCTTTCTACTACCACACTATATTACTGGTACCCATATAGTTAAACTAATTTCAGTATATCCCTCTTCATTGTAACCCTAACAGAGCTGAGGTCCCAGGACACAATAGGTGTTTAACACATTTCTTAAATGGATGCAAGTTACAAACAGGATGTTTTAACAATGAAACGGAGTTGCCTGGAAACATTTAAAGGCAAATACTTAGATATAATTTCTAGGGCCTGGGGAGATAGCTCAATAGAATAAGCACTTGCCTGGCAAGCGCAGGGTCCTGAGTACCTCAAAAAATATATATATCATATCTATATACCAAGGACTTTTCCAAATGCTTTACACATACCAACTAAATCCTCACCTTCAAGATGGCATTACCCTAGGTTGACCAACAGGCACAGAGAGGGTAGGTGACTTGTCCAGGGTCACACAGTAAGAAAGTAGCAATACTATAGGAACAGGAAGTCAAGAGTCTGTGTTGATTTTATAGCTTTCACTAATGGGCCCAAAGCACAATGCAGCTTAATGAAATTTTTAAACGTGTAACACAGTTAAGAGACTTCGCTGGGGACCTAACTCAGTGGTAAAGTTCATGCCTTGCAGGGTTCAATCCCTAGCACCACTAAAAGGAGAGATTTCATTAGCAATATTTTATGGACACTGTTATTAAAAACTCGATTTTGTGGATAAATTTTTAGTATATAATTCGGTTTTATGGTTGAAAATATACTTTCCAAAAGAGTAAAACAGTGGTTTTAATGCTAAAATTCAGATTTTCGAAATAGCCTTCACTGTCGAAGCACTTTCCAAGGACACGTGTTTAGGAAATGTAAGGAAAGGATCTCATCCCTAGGAATAATGCTCACCGGGGAAAGTTGGGCAGAGAGCTCCACCCCTCCTCCCGCAGCATTCTCAGGCCACCGGCCGGCCCCACACCCCACAGCGGCTTCTGCGAAGGTGACCCTCCCCCAGCCACGTTCCAGATTCACAAACCTGACTCTGCCAAGCAACCAAAGCCTCAAACACAGTAGAGTCCTGAGCTGACCTCAGCCTACCCACAACCCCAAGAGGGCAACAGCCCAGGAGGTGGGTACTTCGGAGAGAGGCACTTTAACTTTTCAAAGTTTTATTCCTGAGATCAGGACCCAAAAGGCCAACAGCACCCACCCCAAGGTCTCACACCTCCGCCGGGCAGCCACTCTCCCCAAGCAGAGGTGTGAATGAAACGGGATGCCGGGATGTAGCCAGCACGAAGGCGGGAAAAGCCGAGGGGAGAGGCGGACCTGGGCCCCGGAGAGGCCCCACGAGAGCGAGGGGAGGGTGCCGGGCAACCGGGAGGGGGTGATGACAGGTGTGACCGGGCTCTATGCTCTCACCTTGAACATGTCTCTGGCAGCGGCGGCTCCGGCAGGGTCACCCCGGCCTTGGCCCCGCCTACTATAGAAAGACAACTACGGCGGCCCAGTAGGGCCCTGATTGTCCCGACTGCTCGCAGGCTGCGGCGTGGGTGAAGACTGTACCGCCAGTTCGATGTGGTCAAGGCTTAATTCAACCACCCTGAGCAGGAAGCAGCGTAACTCCGATGCAGCGCGTCGCGCCTGGGGCGAGAGGCCAAAACAAGCCCCGCCCCCAGGAGGCCCCGCCCCTGCTATGGTTACTAGGCTGCCGGAAAGCGCCGGCTCCCCGTGGGCGGCACGCGGAGGCGCGAGCGAGGTGGCGACGGGCGCCGTGCTGCGCTGGGAAGCAGCCTCCGCGGCCACGATTGGGCGCCCAGCAACGTGGGCGGGGAGTCATCTGAGCAGAGACGGCCAGACGGGGGCGCTCGACAGCTCTCCGTGTGTTTTACGGACCTCGCCTTTGAATGTCAGCGGTAGGGGCCTGACTTTACGTCACAAAAGGGTTTTGATCTTTACCTTGGGCTGGATGTGTCTCGGGTTTTAAATTTAATTTGCCGGAACAGTTTAAGATTCTTGAGTGTCAATTCCTCACTAGCAATCCCAAGTATTTGTTTCTTAATAGGAGAAGGAATGATGGCAATGATTATTGACAAGAATAGCAAGCACTAGCACATCTCCATGGGCGCAGCTCTGATCTGAGCTCGCTACATATAATCGTCACACAGAAGGTGGGCATCACTTTCGTTCCCAATCTGTAGGTGAAGCAGCTGAAGCACTGTGATGTGAAGACGTTTGTACAGGGCCACACAGCAAGGGTGGGTGAAAGCCGGGAGCCAAGCCCCTGTGGTGAGCCTTTGAAGTTTGTGTGTAGCCTAAACAACCCTGTGCGATTTGGTTTGGTTTGGTTTGGGGTTTTTTGAGATAAGGTCTCCATATGTAGTCCAGCCAGGCTGGCCTTGAGCTCAGTTCGGTAGCTCAGGCTGAACTCCCAGAGATCCTCCTGTCTCAGCCTTCTGAGTGCTAGGCTACCACACCGGCCCACAATTGTTAGACTTATAATGAAGGTGTATTTCCCATTTCTTCCTGTGTGTCCACCCTCACCCCATGGAAGGGAAAGCCCCTTTCCAGTGAAGAGCAGGTGGGTTCTGGGATGTATATACACCAAGAACACACCTGTCCTTGAAGAAGTCAGGCTTTTCCTGTGTGTGTGTGTGTGTTTTAAGGAAGGGCCTACAGGGTGTTCAGGGTCTCACTAGATTGGACTCGTGGTGATCCGCCTGTTTACAGCCTCCCAAGAGCTGGGATTACAGGGGTGGCCACCACACCCGGTCTCAATTGCTGTCTCAGCGCGCCCCGCCCGAGCCAGCGCTGCAGGCCTGGGATCATATCCCCGGCCCCTGCTCCTGCTTGCAGGAGCTTTAATCCGCTGAGGTATTTGGCCGGCCCTCAGGCTTTTCTTTAATTTTTTCTTTTACATAAATAAATGTACTTTCTTAGAAGTTGGGTTTCAAATCACTGAGAAAAACACATCCGGGGGAAACAGGCATTTCAGTGAGAGATTTATCACAGGCTTTGGACTGGAGATGGTTAGAATGTTGGGAACAGCAAGGTACAGCTGTGAGCTGTGAGCGCCAGGCCTGCCTCCAGGATGTTATGAACTGCTTTTTTTCCTTCTCAAAAGAATTGTTTATTCCAAGCCATCTCCACCCCCACCTCTAGGGAGAAATATCCCAATCTGTCCTGTAGCATCATTACACATATAGAACTAAAGCACAGTGATAAATTAGAAGAGGCATTTAGTACTGGGCATGCACCAAGCCCTTCACACTGAGCTCCAACCCCAGCCCTTTTTATTTTTTACTTTGAGACAAGGGTCTCACTAAGTTACTGCCATCCTCTTGCCTCAGCCTCCCAGAGTGATGGGATGACAGGCTTGCACTACCACCCAATGTAGAACAGGAGTTCTTAATTTAGAGGCATGTAAACTCAGATGGGGGAAATAATGACAACTTTGTTTTCATTAACCGCTAACTGAATTTAGTGTTTATTTCAGTTACGGTGTAGGCGACCAACCACAATAGTGGTAGTAGGACCTCCGACTTTGTCATCTGTAGAAAGCGCAGACATTGTCATACCACATTGAGTCATAACAGATGGTTCAAAATATCTTGTTATGCTCATTGTGACTTCAAAAATCCAGGTATTTTAGGTTTCTTATTTTGTTTCAGGTTTCTTGTGCTTTGTTTTCTTGAGACAGGGTTTCACCATGCAGCTCAGGCTGGCCTTAAGCTCACTTTGTAACCCAAGATGGCCTTGAACTCACATTGATCCTCCTGCCTCAGCCTCCCAATTGCTGGAATTATAGCTGTGCACCACCACACCCAGCTCTTGTTTTACTTAATGCATAAGAGCACATATTACTATAATTTTGCTTAAAAAAAACACTTTGAGGATGCAACTAAGAATTTGGGAGTTCCATCCAAATTGAAGTAATACTTCAAAAAATGAAAAGCTAGAGGTGGAACCAAGTGAGTGATGGGACCAAGCCACAGAGAAGTCGAAGGTTTTGCCCAAAGCCTCACAATAGACAAGTATATAAAACCTCTAATTTTGTGGCCAGGCATTCTTGTTGGTGCGTCCCTATAATCCCAGCACTTGGGAGGCTGAGGCAGGAGGATTGGTGCATTGGAGTTCGAAGCCAGCCTGAACTACTTAGTAAAACCCTGTCTCAAAAACAAATAGCTTGGGGTGGGGGAGATGGCTCAGTAGAATAAGTGCTTACCTGGCAAACACAAGGGCCTGAGTTCAATTCCTGGTTCCAAAAAAAAAAACAGCTCAAATGGTATAATTATGTGGATTGTGACCTTAATGGTTTAACTTATGTACTTGCAGATTATCTCGTTATAAGGAAAATGAATCATCCCTCAAAGGCAAAAAGGACTGGTATTCGAAAATCAGATAAGCAAAAAAGCTCAGGAAAAAACCACACACCACGTTTGCCACCGGTTCCAAAGGCAAAGGTGAAACCAACACTACGGTAAGTACCTGTGTTTTCCCTTGTGTCATTTTCTATAACTGGACCGTTTCCACATTTGTCCACATTTACCCAGATCAACTCGAACACTTCTTACATAAATTAAAAGTCCTCTATTTGAAAATTACTTTCAACAGGCATGGTGGCACATGCCTGTTGTGTCAGCACTCAGGAGGCTGAGGCAGAAGGATCTGCGAGTTTGAGGCCAACCCATGTTATAAAGTGAGACCCTGGCTGAAAAAAAAAAGTAAAATTATATAAATACAGTCACTACTTTCAAATTGCATAGGTGTTATAATTGGAGTTGGTAATTACAAAGTATTGTAGCAAACACCTATTTGATTCTGATTCAACCTGGAGAAACCGCTTTGTTATTCATTTTTGTGTTTGAGGAAGAACCAACCAGAGGAGGTAAGTGACTTGCAGAAAGTGAGACAGCTCATCCTGGCACTCACTGAGCTGGAAAGCTCTTTCCACACCTCCGGCCTCTTTTCTGTGCTGTCTGTTTCCGGCCAGCAGTGCTGCTGGGTCCCTCCGCTTGGGGCAGGAGGACAGGAGGCCTTCACCACCTGCATGATCTGCCCATGCGGCGACATCATCGAACGTGGTACACACCTGTCATCCCAGCACTGAGGTAGGCTGAGACAGGTGGATCATAAATAAAAATAAAATAAAATAAAATAAATTGTAAAGGAAACTGGGATGTAGCTTAGTGTGGAGGCCTTGCTTCAACTCCCAATAACACCAAAACAAAACAAGAAGTAGAATAATTGTCTGACCTAAATGGAACAGGGCTGCTCCTAGCGAAGATCTGAAAAGGGCCTTTCTTTTCTAGCTCATAGTCATGAGCCCCAGAAGAGAACTGGGCCGCTCTAACTTCAGCACTTCCACATCCTATTTGTACCACACTAGAGCGAACTGGACAGTGCTTTAAGAACTAACTGAAGGGGCTAGGATATAGCTCAGTAGCACAAGTGCCTGCCTGGCAAGCGCATGGTCCTGAGTTCAATTCCCAGTACCAAAAAAAAAAAAAAAAAAGGACTGAAAATGCCAGGCATGGTGGTACACAGTTTTAATGCCAGCACTTAGGAGGCTGAGGCAGGAGGATCCCTGTGAGTTCAAGGGCAGTCTGCACTACATAGCGAGACCCTGTCTCAGAGGGGGAAAAAAAAGACCTAAAAATAATTTTAGGCCATAGGTGTTTTCAGAAGGCAAGGCAAATTTCCTCATACTTTTTATTTCCTACATGCCTTCCTCTCTTTCCTTCTCTGTTTTTGGAGAGGGTGCTTTTTACCCAGCCCTAATTGCTAGACGCCTCTGTTTTTCGGGACTGAGCGTTGAACGTAGCACCTCCCCACAGAGCTCTGGCCCAGCCCTTTTTTTCTTTTTATTTTGAGATGGGGACTCACTAAGTTGCCCAGGCAAGGCTCAAGCTTTGTGAGTCCGTCCTGGCCTCCCAGAGTACTGGGGTTACAGGTGTGTACCCCAATGCCTGACTTCTATGCTTCTGAGTGATCAATTCACAGTCTGTACACCTCCTGATGAGAAAGTTTTAGCGAGGATTTTTTTAATACCAAGAGAAGTGTTCTTAAGCTTTTCATATCCTTGTGCTGATTAATTCTGCAGATGACCACTTCTAGTTACTGTATCCAAATTTGCCTCATTAAGTCTGGCAGCTTGTGGGGCATGGGGAGGAATAGGAGAAGCAAACATATTGAGAGTCCTCCAAGATATGAATGTGAAAACTGCAGAAATATGAACCTCTGTTTTCCCCCTCTTATAATTAACAGAGACATTTCAGCTCAAAAAATACAAAGAGCATGGTTCATTCATTTGGACAGAACGATATTTCAACTCTTAAAACACACAATTTGTGCAGCGGTATGTATTTTCTATTTTCTCTGGTAGATTCAATTACTTATTAAGTACAAAGGCCTGTTAATTAAACATAAAATAGATAACCCTCTTTCCCTCTTCTATTTGAATCTAACAGTACTACACAGAATTCTGGAATTGCTTCTTTTGTTAACTATAAATTAATATTTCAGGATTTATTTAATTTTATTTTGAGACAGGGTTTTGCTGTGTAGTCCCAGCTGGCTTTGAACTCGCAGCAGTATTCCTGCCTCAGCCTCCCTAGTGCTGGGATTCCACGCATGCACCCCCATGCCTTGCTTAAACTTCTGTTTAATATAGATACTGTTATTTCTTTCTCTGAAATTAATATACTGTTGTTCTGTCTGTCTGAGACAAGATCTCGCTATGCAGTTCAGGTTGCCCTTGAACTCACTGTATAGCTCAGGCTGACCTGCCACTTGGAGCTCTCTGGCCTCAGCTCACGTGGGTGCATGCTGGGACTACAGGCATGCAGCACCGGCCCAGCTCAAATTTGATTTCTCATTTGAAGATGTGAGACAGTGATCTGGTACAGTAGAGGCCTGGGTGTGGCTCATGCTGTGCCTGGGCTTAGCACTCCCCCAACGCCTCTGGCTTAAAGTGCCCGCAGTTTCACTTCTGAGAGCATTCTATAATATGGGGATAACTTCACTGCAGCCTTGATTATAACAGCAAGGAAAGTGAACCATGCAGTATCCATTTATGAGATGCAGGTTAAATGAGTCTTGCTGGAGTTTTGTTTGTTTGGTTGGTTGTTTTTTGTTTCACTACATAGTTCAGGCTGGCCTTGAGCTCATTGTGTAGCCCAGGCTGGCCTCGAACTTGCACCAGACCTTCCACCTCAGCCTTCTGAGTGCTGGGATTACAGGCATGCCCCCCACACCTGGCTCTTCCTGTCTTCATAATGATAAACCTAGCAGCATCCGTCTGATTATGCAACAGAAAGATAACCAAGATACCCTATTAGTGAAAACAGCCCGTCAGAACAATATAAAGAATATAATCCTATTCGAATAAAAACCAAAAACAGATGCACACCGTCCCTCCTCCCCAAAATAACTTTTGTGATCCGAGCAGAATATCAAGGTTCCCATGATATAGTACCCTTTGGTGTAGTACCAAATGTTCACCTAAGAAAATGACCCATAGTTCTAGTAGTCTGTTATTAGTAATAGTCACACGGAGGGAATTCTGGCAGCCCTTCAAACACCATAGAGTCTGACCCATTTCTGATGTAGTAAAGCAGAGCACTCAGAGAAAAGCCACTCAAGTAAACTCGTGACATTTGGGGACCATTGTCCATTGTCTCACATGCAGAGCTTGCTTTTAATGATCATGTTACTAGTTACCTTGTAATTTTAGACACTTAGTAACAGGAAGAGGGAAATGAATTCTTTTTTTTTCATCTATTACCCTAAGCTTCACTAAATGTTTAGATTAATGATGGTTTGTACTGCTAACATATATATTTTTTTTTTGACAGAACCGGGGATTGAACTCAGGCCCTTGCACTTGCCAGGCAAGCGCTTAGCCTACTGAGCCATCTCCCTGGCCCCTTAACATATATCTTCATGCAATTATCATAGTCATAAAGGTTGAGTGGAGTCATTTAAGGGGTTAGGAGTTTTAGAGTCAGACCTAAGTTTGGATTGTCAGCATCTGTGTATGTTTTTGGGTAAATCCCCTGGGCCAGGGAGATAGCTCAGCGGCGTAAGTGGCTTCCTGGCAAGTACAAGGTCCTGAGTTTGATTACCAGTAGTGCAGAAAAAAAAAAGGTTAAGAAATAAATATTCCCAGAACCTCAGTCTTCTCATTTGTGAAATGGGGACAATAGTATTGCAATAATTTTGCTGTAGTGAGGATCCTAGTGGGGCACCTGCCACAGGTAAGTGGTGTACACGGCGCTCAGCGGCTAGTAACTTACTGTGCCTGCCCTCGCATTAGTCATTCCTTCAGCAAGTACTTGTTCAGCATCCGTACCAGATGCTAGGAAGGTTGCATTGAGAGACACTGCGCCCTTGTGTGAGGCTGTCTGGGAGGAGCAACACACAGGTTTATAGGCAGTTACAGTAGATTATGAGATGTGTTGTCATAGGGAAAGGACAAGACTGGGCGTGGTGGCACACATCTGTAATCCCAGCACTTGGGAGCCTGAAAGCAGGAGGATCCCTACACATCTGATCTGTGTAGTGAAACCCTGCACTAAATACAAAAGAAAAAAAAGAACAATTCCTTGTAATCTTTTTTCTTTCTCATTATTTTGTTTGTTGGTTGGTTTAGGGACAAACAAAGGTCTCACTATATGTTCCAGGATAGCTTCAACTCGTGCTGAGCCTCCTGCCTCAGCCTCCCAAATGCAGGGATTACAGGCATGCGCCACCACACATGGCTCCTTGCAATCATAAAAAGGGGTAGATGTTCAAATTTGGAAACTCAAGGGACTAAGTCACTAGCTCAAGGCCACACAGGTAACAGAGGTGCCAAGATAGAAAGCACCTCTTCAACACTCCAGGTCGAGTGTACTGATGAGGTTGCCTAGTCCTCCGTTACAGTCAGTGAGTCCAAGCTGGGCAGCGTCGCTCTTTCTGTTCACAACACCATCCTCTGTTTCAGGAGTATTGTGTAACTCATGAAATACTGAAGAACGTGAGCCCCGTCGAAGCTCAACTTGTTAAAGATCCTAGCATGAAATGTAAAGTCAGATTCAGGTAAGACTTCTGTGCCACTTTCTTTCATGGAGTACTTCATTCATAAGGAGAGATCTTAGAAATTAATTTTATTTATTTATTTATTTATTTTAGTCTTTTTGAGACAAGGTCTTGCTATGCAGCTCGGCTGGCCTTGAGCTCACTTTGTAGCCCAGGCAGGTCTCGAATTTGCAGAGATCCTCCTGCCTCAGCCTCCAGAGTGCTGGGATTACAGACATGTGCCACGAGGCCCAACCCTAGAAATTAATTTTTTAAATCTTAACAACCTCTCAGGCTAGAATTACCAAGCCAATGTGTTGTCCTTCTTTATGTTTCTTTCGCGTGGTAACTAAGGCCTGATTCTGGCTCAGAGCAGCCAGCCACACAAGCAGCCTGCCGTGGATATGAGGACGAGGGCATGGCGAGTGCCCAGGCTGCAGGCTGATCCTCCACCGCCCCTTTCATTACCAGCTCTGTGTGCTCTCGGCATAGCCCCTGTGCTACAAGCCAGAAACTGTACGAACTATCTTAAATACAAGGGGGAGAAGGAACAGAGCCACTGTGCTAATGCTAAACGACTAATTTTTGGTCTTTATTTCAGATTTAGTGGTGAAATATTTCCACCTTTCATCGTATTTAAAATTTTTCTTCATACTGAGGGCCGTGGTTACAAGTATTTCAGCGGGAAAAATGTATTAAAACCATCAACCAAGGTGATGTTTCATGATGTGCATTGTATGTTAATATAGCTTCTTAACATCTAAGTGCTGTCTGAGTCGCATTCAGAGCGTACAGACGAGGTCATGTCACCATTAAACATCCCACTGGGCAGGTAGCTTTTTTTTAAGTATCATGTTTCAGAGTGTCTCCATTTATTAGCTAAAAACATTTAGAATTAATTACTTATATAAGGCTCCAGGAACTATCCATCCATTTTCTCTATTAAAATTCTGCTCTGTTAATAATGGACTAAAGCAACACATTGGTCAGAGCAGAACGTGCAATGCATTTTATTTGTTCTAATGGAATTTTATTATTTCTTTGATTCTGGTAGCGCATGTTTTTTAAATGTGCTGGACTATACTATTGACAATGAACTTCCAAAATATTGCTTCTTTCCTTACATGAGTTCCCATTATATCTTTCTTCCATCTCGTGAATAGTAAGCATAATTGTGTATACAGAGTAGGAATCATCCAGGGACCTTGTTAAAATGCTACAGCCACTGCCGGTCATGGGCTGTGCTTTTTTTAATTTTTATTCTTATTAGTGCACGTTTGCAGTATAATGCTCACACTCCTAGCAGGAAGTTAGTCTGTGGATGCAACACATCTCAGCTCTGTTTTTCATTCCCTTCCCCTCCCCTCTTCCCATCTCTCGATCCCCTTCCCTTTTGCAAAGGATCTATCTCCCTGTTTGTTTTTCTCTGTCTTTTATTTTGCTCTTTAATTGATTTATATTTTGGGTTTCTCGTATAAGAGACATCAAGGGCCAGCGTTTGAATAGCAGGTATCTGCAGCAGGAGCTATACCCCTTCGGCCCTCATGCCTGACTATAAGTTTGAGGGAGATATTCTCATAAACCACACACCAAAGGTTTTGTCCTGGGCTGTGAGTGTGGTTCAGCAAGTTAGCCCTTGAGTCCATCCACTCCAGCATCACACACACACACACACACACACACACACACACACGACACACATGACACATGTGCATGCATGTGCGTGCACACACACTTTGGAACTATATTACACAGAAAGCACAGCACACCCTCAATCATAAATTGTATCACGTGTCCTGGGAAGACGGCCTCGGAGCCCAGTGGCTTCTGATCAGACCCCACAATCACAGCACTGAGTCCCCAAAGAATATTAGGAAAAGATCAGGGCTACTCTCCTGTGTTCTGAAGCATTATTAATATTTGTGCAGAATATGTTTGTCTTACATTTGAGGAATAAATTTATGCAACCTTCATCTGCAGAGTTAGCTGGTAGCTGTCCTGATCTGATGGACAGTTGTTTTCTTCCAGAGGTTATATAATGGGGTTTCTCCAGGAGCTAAAATCCTCCTGGGTCAGCCCCTGCCAGTTCCTGCTGTGCCCAGGCTTGAGAATGTAAGAAGCTTAGAGGCAGGCTCTGGAAATCACTGCATGTGCATTCAACTCATCAAGGCTCTATGATAACTCCATTCATTTTTTGGCTTTATTTGGGTTTAGTTTAGCCTTTCTTTTTAGCTTGTAAAAATTTGTTTTTGTTTAAATTATGTTGCAAAAAGAAAATGGGAAAGACCAGAAATAAAAAAGAAGAAATGTCTTTGTGTCTTTCTTTTCTGTGCTACAGCTGTCACTTCGCTAGAGCAAGCCCTGGGAAGTTTGTTGCACAGCCTTCACTGCTCCCATGCAAATGTGCAGATATTTATACTTCGTCGGTCGCTTGTATGAAGGTGATCATACTGTTTGGCTGGAGCTTTTCACCAAGCCCTATAATGAATTTTAAATAATACCATACCCCGCTTATAGGGGACACTTTGGACTTTGTCCCTTTATGCAGCTTGAAACAAACTCTAATAACACTTGGATTTGTGATGGATAGAATATTTGCAAAAATGCAATTTTTTTCACTCTAAGCTTAACCCCACCTTGCTCTTTGGAGGAAAGGATTATGTCTTTAGCAAACCGATCCAACTTTTCTTAAGTTTACTTATTTCTTAATATGAAAGTCAGTTTTAGTCTACTTAGATGTTTAGTCTAAATTCACTTACTTTTCTTTTTTGAGACAGGGTCTTGCTGTGCAGTTCAGGCTGGCCTTGAGCTCATTCAGTAGTCTAGGCTGGTCTCGAACTTGCAATGATCCTCCTGCTTCAGCCTCCCGACTGCTGGGATTACAGGCATGCACCACCACGCCCAGCTTCTAAATTCACTTATAAAGGAAAAAGAATTTCATAGACCTTTTTTTGTCTTTGTTCAATCTTTTCTGTCCTTATTTCCATTTCTACTTTCATTTCCTTATCATTTTCCAACTGTATTTCTCATGTTTTGTTTTGGTTTCATTTGGTTTGGTTTTGGTTTTGGTTTTTGAGACAGGGCCTCACTATGTAGTACAGGCTGGCCTTGAGCTCACTATGTAGTCCAGGCTGGCCCCAAACTCATGGCAATCCTCCTGCCTCAGCCTCACGAGTGCTGGGATTGCAGGAGTGCACCACCATGCACGGCTACTGGATCACTTTTTATCAGTTGTAATCTTACACATTTTCTGTATATTGTTTCATTTAATTCCCATAAACACCGTCATGTATATTCTGATATTACCCTTAGTTTGAAAAGACCATGTAACTTGCTCAAGGTCTCACAAGTAGAAAGTGAGGGAACTGAGCCCAAAGCCAGGATCTTAGCCACTCCTGGGAGTCCAGAACCACGCTATCCACATTCTTCCACGTGCTCCTCAGCCACTCGAAAGGGACATACTGTTCTTATTTTGCCTGTGCAGAAGCTAGAACTTGGAAAGTCTTGTCATGGCCACAACTGAGGCTTGAACACTTGTCTGTATTCCCACTGTGCTGTGAATATTTCAAGATTGTAACAACCCCAGCAGTTATGGAGCTTTCATTGCATCTGAGCCTGAATTGAGTTTAACTGTTCCAAGAAACTGTCTTAGTGCAAGGATACCAATTACCACTCCTTTCATGAGCAAGAATTTCCAGCAGAGATAGGGAAGTGACTTCAAATCTTAGAGTAACTTTACAATCCTAAGTGTGAATCTTAGCCAGCAAGTAGCCAGCAGGCTGTGGGGGCTGGTGGGCCGCAGTGACACTGAGCATTGTGAGAAGTGTCACTTGTAGAGATGCCCCTGTTTGCCCTTTGAATCACTTACTAAGGACAGAATCTGCCTGTTTTTTTTTTTCTGGTATCAGGGATTGAACTCAGGACTTTGCGCTTGCCAGGCAGGTGCTTATGACTCTGAGCTATATCCCCAGCAGAACCTGCTTCTTGAATCCTGCTCTAATTGGCTGGCATCCTGGAACTGTGGCCTAGTTTTTGCCTACTCTTTTCTTCTAAGGCTGGAGTCTTTCTTCTTTCTTCCTATGGGAAAAGATTTTCCTGAATATAGCCACACCTATCAGACGTCTGACAAAGAACATCTTGGCCATTGGAGGGTCAGCCCTCCTCACAAGTAGGCTAAGAGTTTGTCCTATGCTGCCAGGCATGGGGTTTTTTGTCTTTGCTTTTTGTTTTTTTGTTTTTTGTGTATTTAGTACAGGGTCTACAGAGTCTCACTGCATAGCTCAGACTCATAGTGATTCTCCTGTTATAGTCTCCCAAGCACTGGGATTGCAGGCACATGCCACCATGCCCAATCCCAATGGCCCTCTCAGTGCCCTGGGGGTGGGGCCAGCACGGCATGCTGCAGTTTGAACCCCAGTCCCTGTGCCTACCTAAGTAGGCGCATTAGTTCCCTGAGCTATCTGGACAGCCCTAGGCCTGCTTTCTTTGGTCAGGGAACTGGAATGGGCTGGAGACAGTTGAGCCACACAGCTGAGACACTGTACCAATGAGGAAACTAAGGCTTGGCGAGACTGGTGCCAGTGCCTGAGTGGAGCAGTGGAGGAACTGACATACATGCCTCTTCTAAGTAGCCTCAGCAAAAGTAAAATACTTTATCCATGAAGAAATGCCTACGGCAGGACTTGCATGGTTTCTGTACCTATTCAGTGTACAGTGATGTGCTTTAACTTTAGTGTCATGGTAGGAGCTGTCTAATTAGAGCCCACAGGAAATTAATTGCAAGGAAGCCTAATGGAGAGCTGCGCCATCAATAGATGGCCAGTGTGTAAAGAAAATAATGAAATGGAAAGTAAAATTATCTACTGCTGGGAAGGCTCCATGTCACTTATCAGCAACTCTTTTGCCCCTCAGATTTAGTACATTAGGGATAAAACTACAACCACTTGAATATTTTCTTCCTTTTTTTTTTCTATATGTGTCCTTGAGGCTTTGGACTTTTTAAAAATATTCTGGATAACAAAATTGAAAATTGGAGTAGAAAATATACACAGGCTAGCTGTTATGATGTGTGCATTCAGGAAAAAGAACAAAGATCCTGGATTTTGAGCCTTTCGCAATCGCTTGTCTTTACGGCCCTACCGGCATTTGCACAGTGCTGACAAACTTTCACAAACGGCACATTATGTCACATGAGAGGAAAGAAAAACCAATCTAGAATTAAAAGATATTTGGCTTTTCTTCTCCACCAGCCTCCCTCAATGTAAACAGACACTTTGTGGCCAGAAGCACAGGTCGGTAATATAAATATGGTTTAGGGAAGTCAGCACAGATTTGGGGGCTGGGAACACCTCAGGCTCTCTTGCCAGGCTGCGCGAAGCTCTTTGCACAGGGGTAGGTGCTTGTGGAAAGGTCTGGTGTCTGTCCAGCCGGTCAGCCTTCGAGCCTCCACATTTCCTGTGTGATTCTTCTCTCTCTGCTGTCTCAGATGCTTTCCTTGAGTATAAACTGTTGACATTTGAGAAAGAAAAATCCTTTGTTTGCTTCTTTGGCCACCCAGAATGAAGTCTGAAGGGGAGAGAGGCCTAAGCAACTTGAAACATACGTATTTCCGTCTGGGGACAATGTATTAGCTGACACATGAAAGAGCGTTGGCCCCGGCAACACCTTTCATTGCAGTTCCTAGGGCAACCTGTTTAATCACCCGATAAGTTTCTCTGCATTGACGACACAGATGACGTTACAGGCTCGTTCTATCTTTTAAAGCAAAAGAATGTTTTTCAAGGAGAAACAAATTTTTAAAAACTGGTCCTCTGAGGATTGTGGACTCTGATACTCTAGCTGCGTTTATAAACCATATAGCTGTGGCATGGAAGCAAATTATAAGTGGTTTTAAAATCCCCATTTATTCTCCTCATGAATATAGCCTTTCTGTTGAATAGCAAACTCCTAGGGGAAATGAACAATATTTGATGTATTTGTCAGAAAAAAATATGTAAAGCATGTGCTGATCGCTAAAAATATTACAGTACTACTGTTTTTTAGAAAATCTGTTTTCTGTTTTCTTTGTAGGGAGTAATTGATGCTTGCAAAATGATGGGAAAGCAGAAATTTTATCAGCAAATTATGGAAGATGAACGTCTTTATGAGAAGTTCAAAATAACTGACCATGTAGATATTGTCACCACTCAAGATTATATGCAAGTAAGGAATTTAGATTTAGCTTATTGAAAGCCAAAACAAACAAACAAACCAAAAAAAAGGCCTTCCTGACCCTGTCCTCCAAGGAGAGAAAAATAATACATGTATTTATTGTGGTAATCTCCAAACAACGTAACATTTGCCATTTTGACCACTTTCAAGTACACAGGTCAGGGGCATTAAATGCATTTATTCATAGCAATGAGCACCTATCATTAGCATCAGGTTCCAGAGTTCTTTTGGACTCCAAAGGGAAACCCAGGATCCAATATGCAGTCACTCCACTTTCCTCCAGCATGTTAACCCCTGCTCCCTGTGTCTCTGAGTTTGCTTAGACTACACAGTGCATGTAAAGGAGTCATGTCATTTGTGGCCTTTTGTGTCTGGGGGACGGGACAGCTGCTGATAGCTAAGGAATATGAGATTCCTTGCCAGGTGTACTGGCACACTCCTGTAACACTAGCACTCAGGAGGCTGAGGCAGAAGGATCACTGTGAGTTTGAGACCCATCTGGGCTACATAGGGAGTTCAAGGCTAGCAGCTCAAACTACATAGTGAGACCCTGTCCATTAAAAGAAAGAAAGAAAAAAGAAAGGAGAGAGAGAGAGAGGAAGAAGGAATATGGCAATGCTTACACAATGTTATAAATATACTAAAAACTACTGAATTGCATACTTTAAGGCGGTATAAATTGCAAATTTTATATTACATGAGTTTTATCTCCATTTTTAAAAGTCACTACAGGTTGCTAAAGTAGTTCATGATAAGGATTCGACCTAGTAAAGAATGGTTCTGCTCCTGATTAGATGCTTTCTGCTATAAGTAGCAGAGTACTCTCAACCACAAGAGGCTTAAACAATAAGGACTGTTTTTTGTCATGTTAAGGAAGTTCACAGATAGCCAGTGCTTGGGCCAATTCATCAGCTCAGGAACATCAGGGCTCTGCATCAGCTTCTCTTGGCTTTCATCACACGGTAACAAGACCATCACATCCTCAGCTCTATTCAAGAGACAGAAAGACTGAGACTCCGAGTATCTTTCTCCATCTCAAGAAAGCAAATCTTGGAAGCCATCTCCCACTTGGCACCATGGCAGCCCTCAGACCCCTCATGAAGTCCAAGATCATCAAAAAGAGGACCAAGAAGTTCATCCAGCACCAGTCAGACCAATATGTCAAAATTAAGCACAACTGGCAGACAACAGAGGCATCGACAACAGGGTGTGGAGGAGGTTCAAGGGCCAGATCTTGATGCCCAACATGGGTTATGGAAGTAACAAAAAGACAAAGCACACACTGCCCAGCAGCTTCTGGAAGTTCCTGGTGCATGTTAAGAAGCTGGAGGTGCTGCTGATGTGCAACAAGTCTTACAGCACAGAGATTGCTCACAATGTCTACTCTAAGAACCACAAGCCCATTGTAGAAAGAGCAGCCTAGCTAGCCATCCGAGTCACCAATCCCAATGCCAGGATGCACAGTGAAGAAAATGAGTAGACAGCCTGTGTGCATGTTTATTTGTGCTTCAGTAAAACCACAAAAAATGCAAAAAAGAAAAAAGAAAAAAGAAAGAAAGAGAGAGAGAGAGAGAGAGAGAGAGAGAGAGAGAGAGAGAGAGAGAGAAAGCAAATCTTTCCCAGAAGCCCCCAGTATACTTCCTCTCAGGTCTCATTGGTCAGAACTGTGTGCCCCCAAACCGATCATTGACAAAGGGAAATGGCATCCATTCCCATGACTGAGTTAGAGCAACCGTGGCCCATATGCTGGGGCCCTCCTCCCGAAGCTCAATACTATTCTATACCTGAATAGTATGGCTCTTTGAGCTAGGTAGAAGTCAGGCATGCAGGCAATGACAAGTGACAGTCTGGGGGTGAGCAGGTGGCTCCAGCAGGCAAAGGCTCTGTGGCAGGAGGAGCTGCCGGAGCACATGAGGGGGCTGAAGAAGGCAGTGCACAGAATGCATGATGTGTGGTGAGGCTCCGGGCCTTTATCAGGTCATGCAGGGCTTTATACCACAGTAAAGGATTTACTTCCTGTCCTGTGTGCAACGAGAAACTTGAGCATTGTTTGAAATCTATTGAGTGAAAAGACTCCTTATTAGGTGTGACTAAAAATACAGTGAATACTTTTTTAAAAAATGTAAACCTGTATTACAGTAAAAGACTCATTGCCATTAATCTCCCTCAAAGTGCAGGGGCCTGAGTTCAATCCCTGGTTCCACCAAAAATAAAAAAAATTTAAAAAGCAAGTTCCTTTAAAAAAAAAATCTCCCTCAAAATTCTCCCCTTCGGTTTGAACATACCTATCATTCTTGCTACTTTTGGAAATGGTTCCAAAGTCCTCTTTTGTGAGTGTCTTTAGTTACACTGTTGGATTGGAGCTGCCTTGACGGCCTGAATAGATTTCAGACATTTACCTTTCATGGTCATTTTGACTTTGGGGAGGAGCCAGAAGTCTCACAGTGCCAGATCCTGCGAATAAGGTAATGAGCACACACGTTAACGTTTTCTGAGCCTGCCTTTCGGTTAGATGGCGCTCAGCAGCAGCATTCACAGTACGGTCTTTTTGATTACACCACATAAAGACTCTCACAAAGGAGGACTTCCAGAACGACTTCAGAAATGATGGGATAAATGTGTTCAAAGCAAAGGGGAGTACTTTAGAGCGAATTCATCACAACGTGTCTTGCTCTCAGTATAAAAAATTTACATTTAAACATTCACTGTAAATTTCAGTCACAATTTGTACTTCAGGGGATTCTGAGTATGTTAGGAGGAATAGGATCGCCTTGGCTTAGGGCTGTGACTCTGGAGACATGAGATGACGTTTACACCCAGTAGGCCTGAGTGTCCAGGAGGGAAGATAAAGCATGACTCCTAGATTTCTGGTTTGTGTAACTCAGTGGCTCGTGGTACAGAATCAGGGAACTTAAGGTACACATCTGCATAATAACAGCAAGGGGGATGATTCCTTTTATTCTTAGAAAAATCCATAGAGGGAAGAACTGCTATTACCCTCATTTTGCAAGGTTTCTTGGTAAGTCTTGAATTTACCATTTAATAATTTTTAAAAATTTTATTGGTTTGTAGTACATAGTGATTACATTCATCATGAGGAGATGGTACACGTACCTGTCACATCTTCATTTTGCAAGAGTTAGAAAAACAAGCGATCCCTAAATTCTGCCTCATGCTAATATGTGTGGCCTTAGCGCTTCGATTGGTTACTTGAATATGAAAGCCGAAATCAGTGTAGCTGGCACCTTAGAGACTCTGGAGTGTTTTCTCTCTTTCAGAGTATATGTGATGATATTAAGGGAATTGGACCAGGAAGCATGTAGAACTTGGGATATCAGCTGTCTTTGCTAAGGACACGGGTCACGTCCTTGAAGATTGTTAATATGACAAGGATTAGTGTCCCAAAGAGGAATCTCCAGAGAGGTTATTGAAAGAGAGAGATAAGATTGCTGAGCTCGTGATGGCATTGTTTTAGCTTTTTACAGGCATGTTATCTCCCTTAATCTTGGAATTTGTAATAACAAATTATGTGACCCTATTTACAGATGAGAAAAATGCGGTTTAACCAAGTCCGAAAAACCTTGCCCAAGGTCACGCAGTGAATAAGTGACAGAGCAGGCCCTTGACAGGCCTGTGGTATTTACTTATTTTACTACCCCACTCTTGGGAAATGAAATATACAGGCAGTTTCACTGTGAACAGCAGTGTGGAGCCATGCAAATGATCACGCATGCCAAAATCACACAAAGCAAACGTAATAATCATAGGAAAATTTACGATTGTCCTGTGACCTTTAAAATTTTTCAAAAAGAAAACATTACAAACTCTGCCATAAATATACAATATAGGAAAATGAAAGGGGAAAACACACACTTTTAGTATGCTATAATTTAAAATATGAGATATGATGAAAATGAAAGTTTTATTTCTTTGGGGAAACTAAGCAACTATGAGTACTAAAAACCATTGAGTTGTATGCTTTGCATGGGTGAATTACTTTGTAAGTAAGTCTCAGAGCTGTGAAAAAATGAACCGGAGATGGAGCTCAGGGATAGAGCACTTGCACAGCTTATAGGAGGGCCTGGGTTAAGTCTTTAAAAACCCCAGCTAATCAGGAATAATTTGAATCGCACTTGCCTTCTTGGTCTTGTTGTGTCCACTACAGTAGGGAGCATGTGTCTTTTCTATGCCTTGGTGAACTGTCACACTCCTGAGCTTGGATCAGCAGCCAACATTCTGTTCTGCGTACTTTAAATGGTGTGAAGTGTATCAGAGTCCCTTTAGGGTGAAGCTTTTGGGGGCCAGCATCACTTCCTGTGGAACAGCCTCATCGTTTTTGTCACAGCCACTCTTCTTGCTTGTGCTGCTAAATTTGCCTTCACCGCGTTCCTCTAGCTGTGTGTCTACACTCTTAGTAACAGCAGCATCAGCTTCCACATGGTCACCTGTCTCTTCTAGGATTCCACCTACTTGTGATCCTGGTTTCACTCCCACTTTTCCTTTGCTGGCTAGTGTTCTTTCAGTTATCCAGCTCTGTAAAATGTCACACACATTTATCACAAAGAAGCAACACAGCCAGGTGTGGTGGTGCACACCTGTGATCCCAGCACTTGGGAGGCTGAGGCAGTAGGATCACCAGGCCAGCCTGGACTGCACAGCAAAACCCTGTCTCAGAAAGACTAAACAAGGGCCAGGGAGATGGCTCAGTGGAATAAGCGCTTCCCTGGCAAGGCCTGAGTTCAATCCCTGATTCCACCAAAAAAAAAAAAAAAAAAAAAAAAAACTAAACAAAACAAAGAGGCCATACAACTACATATTTTGCCATCTGCACGTTAGCGTAAGCTGAAGAACAGATTCAAAGTAACCAACCACTGAAAGGTTAAAAGGACTGACATGATTTGTCGCTAATTATAAACATTTGTCATCTCTGTGGTGGTCTAAAAACTGAAGAACTGGCAGCCAAGTTTGCACTGTATGCAGTTGCCCCCAGTTGTACTGGAGTAGCTTCAAGTGGCGCTCTGCTGTTGGTTGTTATTGAAGGCAACAGTGGTGACTGAAATATGTGCATGCCAAAGTGCTGCTGAGGGACAGCTGCGTCTGTGTGTGTGTGTGTGTGTGTGTGTGTGTGTGTGTGTGTGTGCATGTGTATGAGAGAGAGAGAGAGAGCGTATCGTAGGAAGCGTGTGAGCATGTGTGCATTATACCCTAAAGGCCTCTGGTTTCCTAGCATCGTAGGCCTCCGTTGCCTAGTCTGATAGCTCCTTCTGTCCTATCTCTGTCTCTTAAGTGCACATTTACAATGTTAAATTGATTCTTTGTTTTCATTTTTAAAACCCTAATTTGGCTGGGCATGGTGGTGCACACCTGTCATCCCAGCACTCAGGAGGCTAAGGCAGGAGGACAGCTGTGAGTTTGAGGCCAGCCTAAGGTACATAATGAGTTCAAGGCCGGCCTGAACTACATAGTAAGACTATGTCTCAAAAAAAAATAAGAACAAAAAAAAAATCCTTTGGGCTGGGGAGATGGCTCAGTGGAATAAGCGCTTCCCTAGCACGCACAAGGGCCTGAGTTCAATCCCTGGTTCCACCAAAAAAAAAAAAAAAGAACAAATTAGAAAAAATATAAAATGGGATTTCTACAAATATCCCAAATGAAAGTAGCGAAATTATTCACTGTGTACCAAAAATAAACTCATCATTTCTAAAAAGATTTTGTGCAAATGTTCCCTCAACCCAAGCATGTCACAAATGGTCACTACTAGATAGCAGAACAGAGAACTATTATGAAGCTTAGGCCCTTCCTGAGTTTAATTTATCTGAGTTATATGTGCCATGAAGCCATTTATGCCTTAAAGAAGCATTTAGTGAGTGTGGTACCATGTGCTGATGCTGTGTGACGTGGCTCCTGGCCTCTGGTAAGGAAGCTAAGGGGCGTACAGGTGGCTCAGACACCTCTAGCTGGCAATAATAGAGAGCTGTTCATCGAGTTCAGAGATGAGCCCAAAGAGTGCCTTTTGGAGGAAGTGACTTTTGAGGGGGACTGTGTGAAATGTGTCTAAAACCATTAGGGATCATCCATAACCAATCATTCTGAATCATTTTTCTATATAGTACGCAAGTCTCCTGGATGAGATCCCTGCATCGGCTGGTGGCAAGAATAACCTTTGGCGAAGATTAAACCTCAAAAGCATTCCCAGGACAATGATCATATATGACATAGTTAATTATGCAGAGTGTGGAGTAATGTCAGCCCGTTTACAAAAAGAAGTGAAGTATCTGTCACAGAGACCACGAACGGAAGAGATGCGTCAGCGCCAGCTACAGATCGTTTCTGCAGTTAGGTAAAGCAGATCCTTCTTCAGGGTTCCAATGCTGTAGACATTTCTGAAAATATTCACACTCTGTCAGAGAGCTCACTAAAGATAATAATAGGGCATATGGGGAAAATCAAGTTGGGGGCAGATTGCCCAAAATGTATGCAACTTCGTAAACAGAGCACTACCAAAAAGGGCAATTGGTACCTGGGGAGATCACTTGTCCCACCCAGGGGGGCAGCGAGGGTAGTGGGAGGCTGCCACAGCCAATGGAAGAAGTGTACAGTGATAGAGGGGAGATGTCAGTGAGTCTTTATTAGGTTATAGATGCCGGCTGGTATGCAGGTGGAGGGGGGACTTTGGGTGGAGGGAATGCATCAATCCGAGAACTGAGAGCCATCCAAGGCCAGGAGGGTGGGGGGCACAGAAAGGGCAAGTGAGGGTGCTCGGCCCTCTGTGGGGAGAGTTTGGGGTAGAGGTGCTAATGTCTGTGCCCACAAATACGTCTGAAGGACCGCCCACTGTCTGTGCAGCATAGTGTGCTGCAGGTTATAATGCAATCCTCGCAATTCTGGTCACCTTGCCTAGAATAAATTGCACATAAATTACAATGACATTATTCCCTTCTTTACCAACAGCGTGTGAACCAATTCACATTTTCAAAGGCGTGTTGTAAGAAAATAGATGTCTTATGATCTGAAACAGCACGGACAGAATGTGACTACCTCAATTACATTCCTTTCTTCTTCCCATTACTAAAGCTCACCTAGCCCATCTTATTTACAAATTAAGCCAGCTTTCTTAAGAAAAAGAAAGAGATGATGAGACTGAAGAAGGCTTATTGGCAATCTATTTTCACATACTCATATTTGGATGAAAAATATGCCTTTAGAACACGAAGACATTGGTGCCCCGTGTTAAGCAAACATGCTGGGCTTTCTTCAGGAGCGGAGATGAGTGGCGCTGACCCCACAACATAATTTCACTCTTATTTTATGATCAAGGCTATACATTTTCTAAACAGATGGCCTGGTGTAGGACACAGTCTGTCATCATGAAACAGATCTTCTCTAACTCATTCATATGAGCACTGAATAGAGAACTTAACCCTGTTACCACCAAGGTCAAAGAAGTGATGTCATTTTCTCTGCCACCAAGGCTCTCTGCTATGTGGATTCTTGCTAAGGATTATCCAAGAATGACTCACTTAAGAGCCAAAGAAGGAGCCAAATTCTAAATCACTTGGGGGAAAAAAACAGGTTTAGAAAAGGCTGCTGGAATACAATCTTAGCTTGGGGTCTCCCAAATGGAGGTGAATCCTGAGACAAGGACTTGAGTTTGAGTGGTTTATTTGGGAGGTAGCCCCAGGAACCACTGGTGGCAGGAGTAGAAAGCGAAGACAAGGGCTGGCCAAATAGCTCAGCAAATTAAAGTACCTGCAAGCAGGCACAAGCGTTGGGGTTCAATCCCCAGGCCTGCCATGCTGACCCAGCCCCCAGGACCACTGAGACGACTGGGCGTGGTGGTGCGCACCTGTAATCCCACCTCTCAAGAGTCCAATCTAGTAGCAAGACCCTGAACACCCTATAGACCCTTCCCTAAAATACAAAAAAAGAAAGAAAGAAAGAAAGAAAGAAAGAAAGAAAGAAAGAAAGAAAGAAAGAAAGAAAGAAAGAAAAGACAGAAGGGAAGGTAGCCCAACTATATTCCCAAACAAGTTGCCACCTAATCAGAGCTTTATCACCCCCCAACCCCCACTTCCTGTGAATGTCAGAGCCAAGTTATCCCTCAGGGCTGAGGGAGCAGCCACATTGCTAGACCAACACCCATCAGTCATGAGGTAAGGGTCAATTAAGAAGTGGAACATTCATTCTGAGGCGCTTGCAGCCTGCTCTGCATATGGGCTTTTGTTTTCAAAGACACCTGTGAGGACCATCCTTGCAGATGTTGGCAGATGGACTTTGAGCTGATGTGCCTGGCAGCACTGGAGGCCAGAGGATTGTGGGTGTGGCCCCAGCTGCATCCAACCCCAACACTTATTTGAAAACTAAAAGAAAGAAAAAAAGGTTTTGCCTGAGTGCAGTGGTACGTGCCTATAGTCCCAGTAGCTTAGGAGGCTGCAGGAAGAGGATCACAAGCTCAAGGCCAGCCTGAGGGACCTAGTGAGATGCTGTCTCAAAAGAAAAAATTGTTAAATGGGTTGTAGATGTAGCTCAGTAGTACAATGCTTGCCTCACATGTGAGTCTGATCTTAAGTATCAGACCCTCACACGCTCAAGTTTTCTTTTGAACCATTATGAAATGTAATACTCTTTTGGTGTTAGCATATGATATTTAAAAAACTCAATAGCTACTAGTAGTATTTTCCAGAAAATTTTATTTTCAATCGATAGCATATTCTATCATTGTCACCAATGTTATGACCTCTGCATTTTCCTGAGTACCAGACACAGAGCAATGCTTGGAAACTCAAGCATCAGTGACCCTGGACCTAAAAGCTTGTGCACAGCACTCTTCTGCAGAATGAGCTCTAAGATGTACTCGCTGGAGTTTTAGTACAGCTTGGAACTTGCCTTACACTTAATTTTATTTTTTGTGCTTTTTCTGTCTGTACCACACATCTGCTAGGTGTCCATCCTTGGCGAGCCTCAAGCCTTTATATCGGCCCTACCAAGAGCAAAGCAAAGTGAGACACTTGGGGCGTCGATCCAAGCAAGCACAAATGAAAGTTGATAAAATGAGAAAAGCATATATGACACCTAAAAAAGAAGATGCTTCAGAGGAAACTGTAAGTTTAACTTGCTCTGAATTCATTGAGGTAGGCAATATTCAAATGGCCTATAAGACATTCTACTTGCATAACTAAGATTGTCCTAATCTGCAAATTCAAGGCTAAAGCACCTTTGGCACATGATACCTTGGATGGAATAAAGCTACTTTCATCTTGGTGACAATGTTTTTAAAGTTCTTAAACAGTACTAATAGCTGTTCTGGTAAACAATAGCTGTTTTGACTACATATCAGCATGAATTGGAAGCAAACTCATCTCCATATGATGACACTGTAAACTTCAATACATCTCTTATGGTGCTTTTCTCATCTCTATTTAAATTTATGTTGTTTTGTTTTTGTTTGTTGGTGGGGGGGTTGTTGTTGTTGTTGTTTTGTTTTTTGTCTTTTTGAGACAGAGTCTTGTTATGCAGCTCAGGCTGGCCTTAAGCTCACTTTGTAGCCTAGGCTGGACTCAAACTTGCAACAATCCTCCAGCCTCTGCCTCACTATGTTACCCCCTCAAACTCCTGACCTCAAGGGATTCTTCTGTTTTAGCATTCCAAGTAGCTGGGAAGGCAGATATGGCTCTTTCTAAACTTATTAAAAACTATATTGTGAGCCCAATATGGTGGCACTCACCTATTATCCCAGCACTCAGGAGGCTAAGGCATGAGGATTGCCATAGGTTCAAGGCCAGCCTGGGCTACGTAGTGAGACCCTGTCTCAGAAACAAAACAAAGCAAAGCTATATTATGTAGAGTATATTTTCCCATCATAGGGATAGTTGCACAAACATATTGTTGTATTATTTTGTAAGGACAAAAACTATATATTGTAAAATTTTGGGAGGTGAGGCCAAGTATATAAAGTCAGATTTTTAAAATATGAAGTAGTAAAAGCCAAATATAGAACACTTGGCACTTTTATTTATAATTCTAGCAACCGCAAAAAGCTGCAAAGCCTCAGAGGATACAAGAGACAATTGTGTACTCCAGCCCAGCTTTTGACATTGTGAAATATAAAGAATACATCCCAGATAATACACTGAGTGAAGAGGAGGAGGAGGAGGAAGAAAGGGAAACATTTGCCTGGTATCAAGAGTTGTATCGTCAGTATTTTCCATGATGCTGATACAAAGCTAATTGACAGAACACTGAAGTTGCTTGTCTGACTATAAATAAAGGACAATCAGATGAAACACTTCCTTGGGCTGCTGTCTTTACCAAATGCATGGCGTATCTGTAAGTCCTTTTGTATTACCATAGGTGCAGGTATATTTTACGGAGAGGATTTGAATCTGAATAAATTACTCCTATTAGAAGACTTTGAATTAGCGGCATACATTATTGTTCAAGAAATGATGAGTACATTAGTTCCTGAGATTTTATGCAATTTTGACTCTTTTTTATTTAAAAATATCTGAATAGGGTATGCTGAGCACAAATACTAGAATTCACTGGCAACTAGGCTGCTCTTGAGTCAGCCTCCACTGCCTTTTTGCAGATGCGTGTTGTTTTTACAGAACAGCTTGCAAGTGACCTCTCCCGAATTATAATAAAACTAGTAATAGACTGTTGCTACCGTAGGCATGACACAGCATACCTAATCATTATTGGGCATCGCAAGCACCTGAGGCAGAATACTGCCTCTGCTTTAAATTGCACTTTGGATATTTTTCAAGCATAAAGACTGTTTCCAGTAATTTTTATCAATTTCATTCTGAACTGAGATTCACATTCCTGATGCAGTGCAAATTCTTTTTTTTTCCATAATTTTATTGAAAAACAAATAGCAATGAGACAGTTTCAAGCCAAATTGGTAGGACAGTTTCAATAATTAACACATTGCATACATTCTTCCTAGTGGTTAATTTCTGTACAAGATGCAGACATGATATCCTATTTACAAACACCATTAGAACAAATCCCTCTATTCATTAAGAGAATGTAACTATATATCTATCCTAACCACTTTGGGCTGGTGAGATGGCTCAGTGGTCTAAAGCACCTACTTAGAACAAGCTTCGCAAAGCACAGGGACCACGGTTCAATCCCCCAGCACCACATGTCAGCCAGCCCCGCCCCCTGGTGGGCTGAGCTGACTACACACACACACACACACGCACACACATAAATAAATAAATAAATAAAATAAAAAAGTACATTTAAAAAAAATAAAAAAATAATATCCTAACCACTTTGAATACACAGATACAAAATGGACATTCATCTGTATCCCCTTTTTTTGTTAAGTTCCGTTATTTGAATATTATAGGTGTGTAAACTCAGCAAAATATTCTAAAAGAGTCCAGTAGTCCATAATAGTACTGGGTCTTCCGCTTGACTGGCTATGTCAGAAATTGTTGACCTGAGTCCCCTACAGCTCAACATAACACTTGATTTCTTCTGTGATCCAGGATTATGCCACACCTTTCCAGAACCTACAATAAATAAAATACAGTTATCCTGTGCTGAAATATTCTTTTAAATGATAAGGATCATTAGAGTAAATGTTTATGATCCTACTAGAACATTTCACATAAACATGTGCTCTTTAATATTAATGCAACCTCATTTAATATCCAAAAAAGAAGGATAATTTTCTTGTCTTCAGAGCATATAGTGGGCGCTGGTTGAACAGAAAAATGTCAGTTTGTCCATATGAGTCATATATATTCTCATTCATTAATTTGAGAAGCAGGTCTTTATCCAGTCAAATGTGTGTCACCTTCAGTCCACCCGCAGTTTGTGTAATAACCACGCTAGCGAACGTTTCAGGGAGCGGGATGAGGAAAGGGTGCCTATTTCTTGATTCATTAGCCGTAACTTCCATCTCACCAGAATGTATTCGCAGAACAGCCATGTCACAGGAAGTCCTTTTAAAGGGAGAATGACATACAACCCACCAACATAACAGTTGTTTTTATTGCTTATACCAGTCTAATCTGTCTAAACACGGATGTTTTGCATGTGGCCATAATCATGTAGATTTAAACTTTTCGCTTAATATTATATCTTAAACAAGTCCATTCAGAAATACTTTTAATGGTCACATAATAGCCCCTTGGGTCAAAAACTGTACTTTACCTGAGTATTTCAGTCCCTAGTTTTTCCCCACTGCAAGGAATTAACACTAGAACAGGCCTCTTCACACACACTTTCTTTTATCTACCTTTCTGTTATTTATAATCTTTCTTTCTGCCAAATTGCACTGTAATCTGAGAACATGACTTGTATGATGCTGATTCTGGAAAATCTGTTGAGACTTTCTTTACAGCCAAATACATGGTCAGTTTTTGTAAATGTTTCTTGCACTCTCCAGAAAAATGCACATTCTCTGTAGTTGGATACAAAGTTCTCTCGGTGGATCTTCTGACAAGCTTGGTAATTGTACACCTTATGTTCCTTGGTCTATGACATTGGTTACTGAGCACCATCTACGTTACTTAAGTCCTACCTGGTGGCGGACTTCTCAGTTTCTCCTACTTTTGTGCTACAGTTTGGACCAAGAGTGTCCCCCAGAGGCTCACTAATTCCATTTCCTCTTCCCAGGAATGCAGGGCTACAACTCCCAGCTTATTTTGCAGGCCTGTTGGTTGAGACCATGTGAATTCTGGCCAGAGGAACACGGGCATTAGTGATGGGCACGCTTCTAGGCTTGGCCCTAAAATGTACCTGAGTACTTCAGGTCTTCTACCTCCTCCCCAGCCCCGTCACATGGAGGATTCCAAGGTGTTAGCAGGAGGATCGCAGGCTCCCAGATTCTATGCCAGTGACCAACAAGAGATGGCTAGGCAGAGCAGCAGTAATAGATGGACTGTGGCAGGAATAAGAAATCAATTTGCCCCAGGACTAGGGAGGCTGAGGCAGGAGGATCACTGTGAGCATGAGGCCAGCCTTGGCTACAAAGTGAGTTCAAGGACAACCTAAACTGCAGAGCTAGACCCTGTCTCAAAAAGACACACAGAGAAAAGAAAAAGAAAGAAAAGAAAAGAGAAAGAAAGAAAGAAAGACTTGAGGCCGGTAGTAGAGCTCAGTGGTGAGCGCTTGCCTAGCTGGCACACAGCCCTGGGTTCCATTTCCAGCACTGTACAAGGAAAGAAAGAAGCTTCATTGTTTTAAGTCCCAGGACTCTTCGGGGTTAAATGTTCTAACAGCTAACATCATCCTCATTCTCGTCTACCACCTCTTTGTGTTTTAGGTTTTGCTTAGGAAACAGCAAATATCTGGATTGCTTTGTTTTAATCCAACTCGAGGATACCTTTTTTTAAACTGATGAGTTTAGTTCATCTACTCTTTCTTGTGATTTTAAGTGCTGATGTATTTGGAATTATTTCTTCGACTCTATTTGGTGCCAGGCATTTTCTCTGTTTTCCCCTCCTTTCCTGTATTCTTGCAGGCTGTTCTTTTGATCCTTCTTTTTTTCCTTACTGTTTTAGAAATTATATATTCTATTTCTATCCTTAATGATCACTTTAAAATTTTAGCACTTGTACTTAAAGTCTAACCCTCCCGAGATTTGAATGCTAGTCATGGTCCTCTTATGCTACAAGTTATCCTCACAGTCATGGTCCTCTTGTGCTACAAGTTATCATTACAGCTGATATTCTAGCACTATTTCGTTTTCAGTTTGGATGGGATTTTTTTTTCTGAGACAAAGTCTTGCTATGTATTTAAGGCTGGCCTTGAATTCGCTTCGTAAACCATGCCTCCTCCTTTCCCAACCTCCCAAGGCTGGGATCACAGACAAGTGCCACGCACCTGACTCATTATCTTGTTTTTAACTTCCAAATTAGACATGATTATTGTTTTTTGAACCTCAGACTTTTCTTCTGGGGTCGTTCTCTTTATCCTGGTGTGTACTCCCAGAAGCTTCTTTGCTGAGCATCCATTGCTGATAACTCTCAGTTGTTTGGTTTTCTGAACGTGTCCTCATTCCATCCTTTTTCTTAAATACATAATTTAGGTAGGTATCAAATTCTACATTGACAGTGGTTTTCTCTCAGCAATCTGAAGCTATTGTTCCACTGTCTTTGGCTGCTACATCTGATTGCTATTGCTTTTAGATGATCTCTCTTTTCTCCATGACAACCTTTAAGACTTTCTCTTTGTATTTTATGTTCTGAAGACTGCTTTTCCACATTTTCTAGCTTCTAGATATGTCTCTCTCTCTCTCTGTCTCTCTCTCTGTGTCTCTCTGTCTCTCTCTGTCTCTCTGTCTCTCTCTGTCTCTCTCTCTGACTCTCTGGCTCTCTGTCTATCTCTGTCTCTGTTTCTCTCTCTGTGTCTCTGTCTCTCTGTCTCTCTGTCTCTCTGTCTCTGACTCTCTGACTCACTCTCTCTCTCCCTCTCTCTCCTTCTCTCTCTCTGTCTCTCTGTCTCTCTGTCTCTCTCTGTCTCTCTGTCTCTCTATCTCTCTCTGTCTCTTTGTCTCTGTCTCTGTCTGTCTGTCTCTCTCTCTCTCTCTCTCTCTCTCTGACTCTCTGGCTCTCTCTCTCTCTCTCTCTCTCTCTC